TGCCCCCCCCCAGCCACTGCAGGGCTCCTCTTGGCTCTTGCAGGCTGTGATTCAGGCTTTGGGCAGGCGACGGCACAGCACTTGGATGCCATGGGCTTTCGAGTGTTTGCCAGCGTGCTGGACCCACAGGGTCCCGGCGCCCAGGAGCTGCGCAGGAGCTGCTCATCGAGGCTGACGCTGCTGCAGATGGACCTGACGAAGCCGGAGGACATCCAGCGCGTCCTGCAGCATGTCCAGGCCCACACCAACAGCACGGGTAGGAGCCCTTGGCACCCCCCCAGGGACCCCACACAGTTCCCCGGGACCTCAGCTTGCAGCCAGCTTGGCAGTGCCAGGGCTCCACATGCCACGGGCTGCATCCCTGTGGGCACCCATGCCAACAGCCTCTGCTAACAGGGCTTGTCCCAGGGCACCCCGCAATTCCCCTGCAGGACCCCCATGAGCAAGGGAGCAGCTGGAATCCCCAGCGTGGGGGGTGACGAAGGGGGGGATGTCCCCCATTCAGGTCACCTCTTTGAGCATCCCATTCCCACAGGGCTCTGGGGCCTGGTGAACAATGCCGGCTTCAATGACACCATCGCTGATGCCGAGCTCTCGCCGCTGGGCAAGTTTCGCACCTGCATGGAGGTGAACTTCTTCGGCTCGCTGGAGCTCACCAAGGGGCTGCTGCCCCTGCTCCGCTCCACCGGCTAGCCCCGCGGGTGAGCAGCCTGCCTTCAGCAGGGCCCACCACACCCCGGGCGACCCCAGCGTGGGTGCGGGTCCAGCATCCCCACAGTGCGGCATGGCTCCTACCCCCCTCACTGGGCACCTCCACTTCCCCAGCCAGCTGCAGACTGGCACCGGGCACCCTAGGATGAGCTGGCGGCATCACTGAGCCCCACAGCATGCACCCAGAAATGGGGAGCCGTGGGGCTCTATGTGCATCCCGGGGACAGGCTGTGTGGGCAGCCCCAGCCCAGCTGCCACAACCCTCCATCAGGGATGACAACCCCAACCTTTGGCTGGCCCGGGAGGGAAAACCAGCTTCTGCTTCCCCAGCCACTTTTTTTTTTCCCCATTAAAACACATTAATTTGAAGCAAATTCCAGTTGCTTTCTCAGCAAAACAAAACCTAAGCCCTTTCTTTGTGCAGGGGCTGGGAGCGCAGCCCTACACAAGCCCTCCTGGTCCCTGCCTATGCAGGCAGCTGCCTGAGAGCCCGCTTACTCACCCTTTCGCTCCTGCAAGGTGACCTGCCCTTCCCCTGCCTGGCAGCCTATGGGGCCTCGAAGGCAGCCCTCAGCCTGCTCATGGACACCTTCCGCAGCGAGCTCCAGCCCTGGGGCATCAAAGTCAGCCTCATCCTGCCTGGCTACTACAAAACAGGTAAGAGGGTCGGCACTCATTTGCTGCCTGCACCCGCAGGCAAAGGGCAGGTGCCACAGTGAGACAGAAGATGGAGCAATGGCAGGAGCAGCTGGTGGTGCAGGATGCAGCTTCTGAGCATCCACAGCCAACCTCCCTGGAGAGAGAGGCCATCCTGTGGCCTTTGAGCTCCAGTTGGCGAGAGGCAGGGTCAGGATCAAGCCTGGCTACTGGGGCTGGCTGAACCAGCTCAGCCACATTTGTGGTGGCACCATCCCCCCATTGCAGGCAGGGTCTGAGACCTCTGGTCCAGTCCCAGGCTACTACGAACCACCATGGTGCTCCCACCACGCTTTGCCATGGCAGATCTCTGCCAGGGTTTCAGTAGGACCTTCAGGAGAGGCTGAGAGGGGACTGGGGGCTGCTGGCACGCGTGCCAGGGGCGCTGGAAGAGGAGGGGCCACACAGCTCACAGGGGGGGCCACGTCCTTGCAGGGACTACGGACGACCCTGCC